TGTAGAATAAAATTCCATAAATTAAACACAACAAACCAATATAAAATTACAACGATTTATATTCAATAATTATATAAAACGAAGTTTCACAAACAATAAAAGAAGATTAAGAGCATTGTGTAACAATGATATAATGGTATTATGAACATATTTGATTGAGAACGGTATATTCTCTCTAAAACATTAAAAAACAAAGAAATAGAAGAGACAAAATAAATATTAAGTATATTAATAAGAAAGTGATACTGTTGATAATATCAAATAAACAATTTATTCAATTATAAAAGAATGCTATCATATAAAAATGCAATTAATAACATGTATATAAACAATAAACAATTATTGAAAGAAAAAAAAAAGAAATTTTAAAAATAAAAAGATAGAAACGAAGAAAAAGAAGCAGAAATGATCGAAAGATGCTGGAGAAATAAAAGACATAGGAAAAAAGAAATAGAAATAAAACAAGAAATAAGGAAAAACTATAATGATAAAGTGATAATAGAAATGATGAAGAAATACAAAAAAATAAGAATAAAAGATATAACATAATAAGAAAGAAATGAATAAAAAGAAACTATGAAAACAGAATACAAAAATTGAAATAAAATAATAAAAGAGAGCAGATAATAAGAATAGATAAGAATAGATAAATTGAATTGAAAATACAATAATAAAAGAAATGAAAGATATCAATAATACTTCAACTCATATTAAAATGATGAAACAAATAATAATTTTAATAAACAAATAATATTAAATAATGAAAGAATGAAAAGTATAGAAAGTACTGAAATAAAATATTCAAATAAATTAATGAAATAAGTAAAAAATATGTCAATGAATTAAATTGAATTCATCAACAAATTAATCATTTTATTGATAATATATTCACATAAATAATTGATGAAATCAATATTATTCAAAGAAAAATAGAAACTAAATTAATAGTACATGTATGAAAACACAAATAAATAATGATAAGATAAATACACAAGAAAAAATATACAAAATATTTTTACAATTCAACATGATATAATATCAAAAATAATTAAAACACAAAACAAAACACAATTATTTGAATAACAAATAGAACAAGAGCACTAAAAATGAAATATCTAGAAATACTGTATATGAATCAACACAAACATATCAATATTCAATTGACGAATTGAATATAAAAAATAGTGAATCAAACAATAATAATGCTAAAAATAAATAATAAAACAAACATAATAAATCATATGTTAATAGAATAAATATTAAACAAACAATTAATATATATTGACTATGTAATTAATAATATAAATATAATAATAAAATATCAAATAAATCTTGATAATTTTATATTATTAATGAATTTAATCTACATATCATTGAAATTACATAATTAGATTAAAGAAATATATGTAATAAAGTTAAAAAAAAGAAATAATTAATAATAAATAAAAGATAAAATAATAATAAATAAAATAGAGAATATTAATGATATAAATATACAGAAAAAGAAGTATTAAAGATAATAAAAAGAAAATAGAATAGAAAATAGATAAAAATCTATTATGTATTAAATTAATATCAAAATCAAGGAATGATAAATAAAATAAAAAATGAGTATTCATCTTAATATATTAAATGAAATTATAAACTATAAATACTCAATTATATCAATAATCAAACAAATAACAGAATAAAATACTAATAAAAGAAAAGAAATTTAATGATAAACAATATCAAAAATAAAGTCAAATACTTATCAAATATCAATAAATATACAAAAATAAACTATTATTACACATAAACAATGATACAATGAAAACACAAGAAAGAATTAGTTAATAAGATTTAAGTAATAATAAAAAGTAAAAAAGAAAATATAAATAAAAAATAAGAAAAGAAATATAAATTATTACTAATGAGATATTTGAAAACAAAATCATAAACAACAATTAACAGAATTTTCAATAAAATAAAATTTATTATCACTTTAGAAAGAAATATAAGAAATAAAGAAGATGAAATAAAAAAAAAGAAAGAATAATATAAAAGAAATGATAAAAGAAAAAGAGGATGAAATAAAAGAATAATACCATAATGAATGAATAAAAATTATAAAACAATGCAAAAGTAGTTATAATGAAAATGATATTTTAAAAAAAGTATGAAAATAATAGATTCAAATAATGAATAAATTCAAATATTAACAGTATAAGAAAATACGTAATACTTGAACAGAAATGATTAAATTAATAATGAAAATAAAAAATATTGTAAATGTTGAACGAACAATATAACATATATAGCACATATATTATTAGTATGCAAAATGATAAAAAAGAGACAAATATAAACAAAATATAAATGATAAATAAGAAATATTATAAAGTAATCTAAAATATAAATATACAATACCCACTTCATCGCATATCATCACCAGATGATTTAATTTGAATTACTTATAATAAAATATATTAAGAATAGTTACTAAATTTATAATATGAGATATGCACCTTAAGGTAATATACAAAAAGAAACCAACAGTAATGATTTAAGAAGTATAAAGATGAGATAATCAGAAATTATTCTATTTATGATAAGTACTATTTGGTTTATTCATAAAGTATCAGTAAAAAAAATCAAAAAAATAGAAAATAAATAAACACATAATAATTATAATACCAATTCAAATAAATGAAAACATATTATGTACTAATTATATACTTTTGAGAATGTTGATGATATAAATTCACATCCCAACATATCAATACAATCCTCTGATAATACAAAGAATGATTATAAAACTAATAATAATTGTAATAAAATGACATCTCAGAACAATGAAAATATGAATAACAAACAAATGTCATCAATTAGATTATTTTTTATTTCTCTTCATTGAAAAAATTATGTTACTTTGATGAAAATAAATAAAAACTAATAATGGTTGAAAATGATAAGAACTAATAATAAAATAAAGAAATTGATTATATATTAATAGGTATATTCATGACTACGTTATACACATTAAAATCTTTTTATTTAATATTATCCAATTCAATTATTGATTTTCTAATTGAGATATATATCAAATACAAAATCTAAAAAATTAAAAAAAAAATTATGAATTTAAATAAAAAATGTTAATGAGGAGAACTAATTAATCACAACTGAAAAATAACTAACAAATAATTAAATAAATGAAGTATATTCCAAATTTTATTGAAAAAGATGTTGAATATAAAGCATGTGAGGAGAAAATTAGCACAGTATTAGAACATGTCTATAATTTAAAATTTGTATTACAAGTAATAGAGTCAAAAGCAAATTCAAGTGTAGACGAAGAAAGTTTTAAAGAAGCGAAAGACAAAATGGAAATAGTTCAAGAAAAGATTGATAATTGTTATGAGTTAATTGAAAAAATAGTAGGAGAAAATGAAATTTTAGCACAAAGATATTGTTATTATCCATATTTTTATTCAATTTTAATTGAAGATGAATTAGTAAATAAAGAAGTATTTAATGAGAAACTTGGTTCAGAAAATATTTATTCGTTTAAAATGAACATAAAAGAAAGTGAAGATAATATTCATAGAACAACAACGATTTACATTATTTGTAAAAATGATTCTACAATTAAAAAATTACAATCATTTGTAAATGATATGTGTTGGAATATTCAAAAAGAAACTACTTATCAAGAATGGTTTGATTCAAAAATAATGGAACGTACTTATGGAACTGATGTTTGTTATTATAGTAACCCTAATGATGAACACCACTCAAAAGAATCTGATAATCAAACGTATACTGATTTAATTGAAAAAGTTATGGAACTTAAATATGACTTTCAAACTTCAAAGAAAATTGTTCGAGTATTATCTATTGAAAATGATAGTATTTGTGAAATTAAAGAACTACTATTTTCAAAAGATCTCAAAAAGAAATCTGAAGAAATTATTACTGCATTACAAGATTTTGATTATTGGGTTGAATAAAATAATTTAATCTTCACTTTTCCTTTTATTATTTCACTATTTTTTTTATTAAAAAATTAAAACTAAAAAGTTCATAGAATAATGAACTCTTCATTGATTCCTAAAAGAGTCAATTTATTGAACTTTGCTTTAAGAGCCAATAAAGGAAATCTCGTTGTTCTATTAAAATCCCTTCTTATTCCGACTACATCTTATAATATTATAATTGGTAATTCTGGTATTGCAACTTGTTCATTAGCTCTTTCTGCTTTGATTGATCATTCAATAAACACCTTTTATAATGAACCATCAATGGCTCCACTACTTTCAAATCTTCTTGATAAATTATTATTAGGAACAACTGTTGTGTCATTGTCATGTGTAAATAGAGTACCACCACAAGTTGCATCAAATATATTTGCAAGAGATGTGTTGCTGTCTGTTGGCTCATTACTTCATCGATACTTAGCATTTCCTCATCCAGTTTGTTTAATTTAAGTATTTTCTGATAACAACTAATTACAAAGATTGAATGGGATAAATTCTTTGATACATCTCAGTACACTTCATTCACAATTACCCCAACTTATTTTGGAAGATTGAATACTTCTATGACTACTTTATTAACAATTTGCGTTCTTTTAAATTGGACATTTAAACCACCTGTTACTCGAGCATTTGTCTCTTTCTTACCAAAAGTAATGGATTTTTGTAGTATATTTTCTTTTATTGAATACTTCCTTCCACCAGCAATACCTAAACCTCGATCGTATGGAGTATTTTCATCCTTATTTATCTAATTTCATATCTTAAATCATTTTTTCTTTTGTTCAAAATAAATAACAATAATCTTCTTTTTTTATCATTTTTAGGTGTCTTTTAAAAGATCATATTATTAATTATTCTTACATTAATTATTCATTATTTACTATTTATTCTTTGTCATAAAACACATTTTAGTTTTACTAGATTGATCGTTTGAGCTGATATTACTTATAGAACTCTGTTTAGAGCTTGTTAGTTGTGTCGTGTTGAGAGAGGAATCTAAATAAGATTAAATTCATTTTGATTAATTTTTAATTCATAAATAAACTGAAGTTATATTTATTTATTCTTTCTATAACAACTTAATTTTTAATGATAATAAATTGAATCTCACTTAAATTTGTTTATAAAAAACAAAAATAAGGAATATATTTATCTTCATTTTTCTTAACAAAAAAAGAAAGAAAATGTATTATAAAATATTAATTAGATTATTATTATTTTTGAATCTAAAATTATCGTAGTTATTTTCCATTTTACTAAACTCCTTTCCGCTTTAATTTTACTTTTTTTCTGTTTTCTTCCCATTCATATAAATCAAAAACATATTTCTTATTAATTATTTAATTAAACATATACGACACCATTATCCTTTTTCACAAAGATATATCTCTTTTTATTAAAAATGAATTTCACATTCTACAGGAGGTTCATTAATCTTTTCATTACTACTTTCAATTTTCGCATGTCTTTGGTTTAATTTAGACATCTCACAATCTTTTAAATGAGAATTTACAAATGATTTGTCAGCAAGAATAGGATTTTCGTCACAATGTGGTACGTTTTCTCTTCTCACAGTTCTTTTGAAATGAAGTGATGGACAAAAACTAAAATATTAATTATCAATTATTTTGTTAAAATCTATTAAAAATAAAC